TGATATCCACACGGACGTGTGAAGGAGTGGTCTGGCCGTGTGAGATTGTGCGAGAGCAAACATGGGCAGGATGGAAATCACACACGGCCGTGCGACCCTGGCCGTGTGGGAAGCCTGAAGATCGAACTAATTGGAACGCAGCGTTTTGACTCACACGGGCAACTGGGTATGCCACACGGCCGTGTGGCCCAGCCCGTGTGAGTCGGGAATTCCTGGTTTTAACTCAATTTCGGGCTGCAAGAGAGAGGATCAGATTTTTGGAGCAAAAACAGAGCCCTAGAGAGAGAAAGGACGAAGAACACATCCTAGAAGCTATCTTGGAGCTGGGTTTCATCAAATCAAGCTTGGAGATCGTCATAGGAGTGGAAATCATCATCCCAGAGCAGATTCTTCCCATAATTATGAGTATGACTGCTTTGTATCTTGTTTTCCTCTCTCTCTCTCTCTCTCTCTATGGAGTAGAACCCCTCTCTCACTTGGGGATGAAGAACCCTAGTTCTATGTGTTAGGGATTGATTGTAATGACTTGGGATGATATTACTGTTTGATTTTAATCGAATGATGCATGTTTATTGAGTCAATTGAAGTCTGATCAACTTTTCCTGATTCCTGCTGCAATCTGAGATAGATAGAATCTGATTAGGTTGCTAGAGTCTCATCATTCGGTAGTAGGAGATTGGCTATACGAGAGTTAGCCAGTGTACTTCTTTGTACTGGAATCTAATTCCAATAGTGGAGTTCTGTTCTTACTGCTTCAGCTTTCTATCCCGGTGAAGACTAGTCGTCTGCCGGCTAGATAGACTGAGAGGGCTTGGTCAGCTTAAGAGATTCCAAGCTACTGTCGGATCTTCCGCAGTCTAATCAACAGTAAATCAACCCAGGGAAATACAATTGAAACCTAACTAAGGAGCTAGGGGGAGTCATTCCCGAGTGACTCTTACTGCTTGAGAAAACGTATCAATTCCTGCTTTCTTTCTGCTTTTGCTTTTAAACAACAATCACGTACTTTAGTTGGCTAGATAATAGAGAATCACGGAGTAAGCAGTAGATCTAGACCCCAGGTTGATAATATAACTTGCCTATTACTGCATTCCCGGTCTGCGATTACACTTGGTCGCAGATTGGTGTTGTGTTTTGGCGTGTCAAGTTGACCCCTCTGTAAAGACAATGATGTCATCAGCAAAGCACATGTGATTCAATGCCATCCTTTTGAACTGTGGATGAAAATGGATTCTCCCTTCCTGACCGGCCCTCATCAACAAAGTAGAGAGCCCCTCCATAGCTATTGTAAATAAGTATGGTAAAGGGGGTCACCCTGCCTAACCCCCTTCCTAGCTCGAAAGTAGCCACAAAGACTACCATTGACATTTATGCTATAATGTGCAGTTTGAATGCAACACTTAATACCCTTCAAGAATTGTTCAGGGAAGCCCATAACATTCATCATAAGGAACATATAATTCCAATTCACAGAGTTGAAATATTTCATTATGTAAATTTTGATAGCACATCTAGATGAAAGCCTCTGTCTATGATATCCACTAACAAGCTCTTGAGCTAGCAGGATATTATCCATAATGCTTCTGCCTTTGATGAATGCTGATTGTGAAGGACTAATAATAGTTGGCAAAACTTCCTTAAGTCGATTTGAAAGAATTTTAGCCACAATCTTATATAATAGGTTCACACAAGATATAGGTCTATGGTTCTTAAGTGTATCTGCAGTTGGTATCTTAGAAATTAATGAAACCGCCATGGAATTTACACCACTAGGAAGCTTACCTTGCTGAAAAAATCAAGGATCCCTTTGATGACATCCTCTCCAATTATGTGCCACGTTCGCTTATGGAACCCAGCTGAGAAGCCATCTGGCCCTAGGGCCTTCTGAGAATTCATCCCAAAGACAACTCGCCTGATCTCCTCAGCATTGACAGGTTTAACAAGAAGATCCCTCCCCTAATTCTTGATTGTACTTCTGACCAGAGTTGCTACCCCTTATTAAGTAACATCTCGATTTTCTCCTTGGGGTTTTCCTTAGAGAGAAGTATTTACAACAATGGCACAAAAGCTTCTACTCCTCCTATAACTCCCATTACATCTCGAAAAAGAGAAGGATAGTGATCATCATCCTTCAAGGTGGCCATCCTCTCCAAATTTTCTCCTAATCTTCTCGTATCTTGCCTAAGAAACTATGGAATGCTCCTACTTTCGTCAAGATAGCTTTGACCTCTTCATTTTTTGGATTGTTCTATGTATTGCTTGGAAGATTCCCTTGAGGCTTTTGGGTTCTCGCATCAATCAAGATTGCAAGTTGACATTCAATTTTTTTGAAAGTTGTCTTGCAAACCATGGACTGTTGCTTCTAGCTTCTAGAATAGAATGACTTGTTTGTTAAAGTGATATTTGGGATAATCCTCTAGCTTCCTTCAACCTGGGGTCAGTCATTTACCATATGATATATGGGATTGGTTGTAACTCCAATATAGGGCATATCCTCCTTGAGGGTTCCTATGTTGATAGCCTTGGTTTATGTAGTTGACATCAGCATGTTCTTGCCATCTAAGGTTCCAACATTCTGGACCGTCATGGAATTCTTCTTCACATGCATCACACACAAACAAGGATGCTACAAGTTTTGGCTCCAATATAGCATGCTACAGCTGTTTAGAAAGCTCCTTCATCTGCTAATGCAAGATGATATTCACATTCTCACTTGCTTGGACCGAGTTCAATGGATTTAGCATTGATCTTTTGGACCAATTCTTTGAATTCCTTTCAAGAGTGCAAAAGTTCTCCTTGCATTAGATTCCCATCATTTGTGTGAAGCCACCATTAGCTGATTGATTCACCATCATCGTGGTCTCTTGATCTAGTCCTTTGGCAAAGTACTTTGCTACTGACTCTGGTGTGAATCGATGATGGGGGCATGCACTAAGATGCTTTTGGAATCTCATACAAAGGTCACAGAATGTCTTTCTATCCTTTTGTTTGAATTGAGTAATTTCATCTTTAAATTCCTTCATCTTCCGTGGTGGAAAGAACTCTTCAATGAATGCTTGAGATAAGGTCTCCCAAGTGGTGAAGGTGTTAGGCGAATGATAGTGTAGCCACTACTTCGCCTTTCCCGTCAGTGAGAAAGGGAAAACTCATAGCCGAATGGCATCTCGAGTGGCTTCGTTTCCTAGAATGGAATGTAAGATCTCCAAGAAGTTCTTTAAATGCATCACCGCATCAACATCATTCCTTCTTATGCATCTCCAACTTGTTACACAATATGCACCAATGATGTGAGGATCTCTATGGTTGTTGGTGGCGCAACAATGCTCGAATTAATACTCGAAGCTCTTTGTCTTTGAATACTGTATAGAGTAGGTGGAAGCACCATTCTTTGCTCTTCTCCTGTCGTGGATAGTGTAGAAGATCATGTAGAGGAGTCGTCTTCTCCGTAATCAAAGCTAAAATCTTTGTCAATGTCCTTCTCCCAACTCGAGATCAACATAAGATGAGTTGTTCTTTAAGTGTCCCCTCTCCTGAGCTAGATGCTCCTTCCTTCTTTGATAATATCCTTTTTTAATGATCTCCTTCACGATCTTTTGATTTTCTGTTTTTCTTCAGTAGACACTGAAATCATAAACAAAATCCTACAAAACAAACCAAATCTAACGGTAACAAAGAGACATACGATGGTTAGCTAATTTTATATAGTATTATAAATCCCCGACAAATCAAAAACTTTACGTGCAATATGCATACACACAGTATGTAGTATTATTTCTAGGTGATAAAAATCCTAGAAAGAAATGTCTAGTATCTTTTTCCACAAGGTCTTCTGCTCAAACAAAGACATAACAGAGGTAAAATCGATGGGTTGAGGTTCCCTAGGTTTGGTTAGTTTTTGAGATAAGCATATATAAACAAAGTAAATGATAGATTAACATAAATAGACAAGATAGGTTAAGGATATACAATTGTTAAGAAATTTTTATCTAGATGGTCATACATCTAAATCTAATTAATAATATGCATTGATGCATCATGCACTATGATACTTTATCCCTTCTACTAAACCATTCCTATTATGTTGTCGCTTCATGGAAAAGAAACTACAACTAGCTATTGCGTGCTTTCACTTCATGCCATTAGCTAGTCAATCACACAAGAAATTAATGATAGCACATTGCTAATTAGAGCCTCTATGAAACATAACAATGGTATAGGACATCAGTGATATAAGGTCTCAAGCATTGAACCCATACAAACAAGGATGATTGGTTATTCCATTCATACATGCATAAGACAATAACATATCATATAAGAGTACTTTCCTAACAACCTATAATGATATTATAAACCGTAAAGATGATAAAAATCATCCTACGAAAGCATTGAATAGCTAAAGCATCTAATAACTAAAGAATTGAATGGCTAAAGCATCGAATGATTAAAGCATCTTCATAAATCATAAAAAGAGATGCATAAGGCATCATAGAATTCACATCCTTAAACAACCAATTGAACTAGCTATACATAAGAGTGAAAGGTGGTACAACTAGTGATGATGAAGGTATCTCCTTAACTACGCCCCTCCTATGGATACTAACTCGATTTACACTCGAGCGAAGTGGCTCCTTGCCCAAGTACAAAAGAGTAAATTTGTGTAGTATTTGCAGTGTAATAAATCCTATATTTTGACCCTATATTTATAGTACATAGGAGAAGGGAGTTTTAGGTGTTTTCCTCCTACAACTCAACCAAAAGCTTCATTGTACAACTAGGACTCGGATTCTAGAATCTCCCATTGGCTTGGGCCCACGATGACTTGTTGCCATCTCCAATGTGCTATTTTTTCTCCTCTGGTGGGAGTCTAAGCCCATAAGTAACCTCTCCGTGAATTTTTAGCGCGACTTGCTGGGTTAGGGTTGGCGGTGGCCCAACGACGGTTGCACCCATCATGGAATCTTTCCTATGCTTGGGATGAAACTTCTCCAGTGGGCTCCTCTTGGAATATGAAGGCTTTATTTAAAGCATACATTTGTTTGGGTTTCGTATAGTTTACAACATGCTTCCCTCTTCTCCGTCAAACCTCTCTCGCAGCCATATTCTGCCAGCAACTCCACCAGGCGGTGAGGCTAACAGCTCGCCTCCGGTCTCTTCTCCCTGTCGCCCGACACAATGACCAGCTCCCATTGCCCATTTTGTAGATCCAGCGCATTACGTGCGTGATTCGATGCTTTGGCCGACAAGCCAGTGGAACGACATCTTCTCAGCTTCACGTCGTCGGTAGTGGGTAGGCGATGGTGATGCAATCTCGGCTCGTTCTCTTTCCTCGGGCTCCTTCTTCCTGCGCGCGCCTCCCGTCGACTTCTTGCTGGTCATCGGCACAAGGGAACCCACTTTCGGTCGCGGCGTTTCTCTCTCGGCTGGTGGCGTCAGCGATATAATTGAGAGGCTCCTTATTGCCTCCGATTCGTGTTGACGCTCGAAGCCGACGCAACCATCCTGTTTTTTTCCTTCCATCCTCGGTCGGGAACCCACCACCGGACAACGTGGTTGCGGCCCTACTTCTGACTTCGACTTCAGCGCTTTCATTGCCGCGACGATCCATGCTCCCAACAGCAAGGAAACGAGTTTTTATCTCTTCTTTCTCTCTGGCTCCATATTTTTGCTAGATTGCCATGCTGTTTGCACGATTTGTGACGCATGCGAGATCAACCAGTACTTGATGTCTTCGTCTCAATCGGCGGCGAGTCCTCGATCGACTCCTTCTTCCTGGACTTCCAGTCATCTGTTCAACGACCCCGCAGAATTGGAGTCGATCTAGAAGGAGCCTAGACTTGGTCGCCCGTAGCGGCTGGGATTCGCGTCGTCTTTCCATCATCTTCGTCGCTAGTAGAGACAGTGAGGCAGCAACGATGAGGGCTAATGGCGGTGCTGTTGATGATTCAACGATAATGGCAGCTGTGGAAATGGCCACAGCGGCAGGTGGTGGTGATTGAGTCATTGCAGAAGTTATCGTGGTGATTGATAGTGTGGGCTCGGCTTAGGGCTCGTTCGAACTCCTCTGCCAATCGCAACCCTCTCCGCCGATGCCATTTTCCCATGCACTTCCCGGTACTGTTGTCAAGAGCTTGACGCAACAGCTCTTGCAATCTAAACCATCTTGATAAAAGAGTTTTGAAGTGCTCATTCTGGCTCTAGATTGCGGTGCACTCGTCCCTGATTGAGAGTTGTAGCGAACTCACTCTCAAAATCGGGCTATGATACCATATGATAGAAACCTAATTCTAGGTTCTATCAGTAGGGTTGAATCATTGGGGATTTAGGGCTTTGGAGATATGATTGGGGATTGGAAAGTAGAATTTGGGAAAGAACAGAAAGAATGGCCGGCGGCCTAGATAGAGGTGAAGACGAGGTTGAGAGTAGAAGATTAGAGATTTGGGGAAGATAACTTTTTTATTAATTTCTGCTTAATCAAACAGTAGGCCCAAAATACATATTTATAACTAAACACTGGAAAAACCTAATCGATTATCCTAATACGACTCAAAGACTACTAACCATATCTAAATTAACCTAATAATAATTTATGATAGAACCCAAAATTTAGGTTTCTATCACTCACTTTCACTGTTATGTATAAGTGACGTAGAAACTATCATGCAAAAGGTTTATCTTTTGTGAATGACTTACTTTGAGATTCTATCTAGCGCATCAGATATCGCATTGGCTACACCCATAACACAACATAGACTGTGACGAAATAATACCGTCAGGTAAACTTTCAGTGATAATATTTTCTACATGACGTGACACTTTTAACTATCACAAAAGGGTAATTTCTCTTAACGTGTGTATTACTTCTAAGAAAGGTACAGTAGATGACGGCTCAAGATAGGGTGTGGGTTATGCATCCATCCATAACCAAATCTGGACCTATCATTTAAAAAATCCAGATCTAAGGATAGAGAATTAAAGACCATTTTTATTTTTCTAGCTTTTTTAATCGGTTCATATCTTTTTCGTTTTAACTCGAATTTTTTTTTTGCACAGATGGAACGAGTTCATCTTGCTCTACAAAATGAGATCAATTTTCAATATTATTTTAGGAAAAAAAATTCTGGCCTATCGGTACCAACTGCATACCATATGGTATTTTCTTCGTTTTTAATTCGTCTTTTAAAACGTTTGCACAGAAGTGACGAGTTCATCATGATCTATTGGATCTACAAATTTCTGGGTGAACAAATTACATGACAAAAAAATACCACACAATACCATACAATACCACCCTGGTACGGGGTGGTATATTATGGTACACAATGATAAAAGTCGTAAATGACAGTTAATATACTTCTATTATCATGTATTCAACCATCCTACAGTCTTGGTTTGTTCGTACCACCATGGTAAGCTTTTCAAACCATAGGTATGTTCTTATTTCAATACCAGTCAATACCATATGGTATAGACTGGTAAAAAATGGCTCAATTTTTTTTGTTCGAAAAATGTATCAAAGTGGATATCATTTTGAAGAGCACAGTTAATCTGATCTAACTGTGCAAAAAAAATTAAATTTCGACTTAAAACGAGTGAGAAATCGTTCGTCAAAGATTAAGAAAGGGAAAATTAAAGGCTTTCCAAGAGAGAGGGATGCTGATGTCATGCTGATGTGGGCTGGTTACTCATGGTTACTCACCATAAGGTTACTGACCTGATCCGTTCCCTAGGTGACACTGCCATGCATTACCTAATTAAAATTATTAACCCGCAAGTAACTACAAAATCGGGTACTATTCATTAAGAAAAAATCGGTGGTTACTGTTCACTGTGAGATTTTTTGGTTTCCTGCGGTCAGGTTTAGTTGAGCCCAAGTTCACTACCTTGGGCTGACTATGTTTAACCGTTGACCAGTCTGTTGGCAAGCTAATCACAACCATTGGATTCTGATCCCTAAAAGTAAAAACGAGTGTCTCTGCTTCTCTCTCCTGTGAACTCTGTTTTTTGTTTTGCGACAATTCATTCCTCTCTTCCGTTCAACCTTTTCTTCTCTCTCTTCCCATTCTTCTCCGTGACCATCCATTTTCTTCTTCTTCTTCTTCTACACGGGATCGAAGCAAAGGAAAGAAAAGGGCAAGATGGATGTAAGGAGAGGAGCATGCTCTAGCCGATCTATCTTCCTCACCTCCGCAAAAATCGAAATCGCGAGATTCGGATCTTCTCTTCAAAACCGAAGCCCTAGAGAAAGCTTATTTGTTGCTCACCACTCAATCAGCATTGGGTTCTCCTTCTCCCCTATTAGAAACTCTCATTGATGGAGCTACCTGATGAATCGAGTGAGATTGGGAATGGGGGCTTCTAATCCGGCGGTGGTAGAATTCTCTACTGGGGAAAGCTTTGTAGGAGGTTGCTTCGTTGCTAGATTTGATGGAGATTACTTCATGGCTCTGTTTACATCCTTCTCTCTCTTTGTTTTCCCCTTTTCAATTTCAATGTGAGAGCCCAAATCTATGTGTGGATCGAGATTGGAATGGGCTTCGAAGCCGATGATGATTGGAGTCTGCCGGGGATTTGCTTCATTGCTGGATTTGATGGACATTAGTTCATTGTTGTTTTTGTACCAATTGGAATGGTATGACTGTTTTTGACGATTTGAACCAACTAGAATAGTATGCCCAAAATTGATATTTGTTGGGAAGAATGGGGATAGTATAATTTGATTGCCAGTTTGATTATCTACAGCAAGAACATGATATTTGGATTTTTCCAATTTGATTCTCACTTTGGAAAGACTATAGTTTTAGCATCTTTTGAGTCACATTTTCATAAAAGTTCAAAGTCCTTTACCAAAGAAATTTTATTATGTGATTGTAAGTATTAATTGATTAAATTCATGCGGAACTTGGGCCGTTGGGAATTGCCTTCTAGCTCACTGCATAATTCCTCCAGTTTAAACTCTATATGTGTTGTTGCTTTGTATGACTACTTAGCAAGAGCCAAATCCATGTAAAAGTTTAAACTCTGTGTTGTCTTTTGCATAGATCATTGTTGATTGCAGAAATTAAGGTTGCGATTTTTATATGTCATGATTGTTTTGTTTATGATATAGTACGTATGCTTATAATGAAGTTAGTATATCATATCTGTTTTCCCACCAGTTGTACATTTGGGCACAACTCTCTGAGAGTTTATCGCAATCGTTACTTATCTACTCTATGCATCTGCTTCTAATGAAGTTAGTATACTGGATCCGTTTCTAAGCAGTCACATTGTTTGATTTACTACAAGTGACGACTGTGAAACAATATTAGAACCACAGTTTCTAGATTTGAGGTATTGGATTGATTGCTTTTGCTCTCTTTTGATCACATGTTCTTTGAGTACAAAGTTTATCAATGTTACTATACCCTTAATACTTATGTTTACAGTGGATGTGCTATCTCAGCAAGACAACGAAGGGCATTGCAAACATATGAAGAGTGAAGAGTTAGAAGCATTCACTTCCATTTCCCTTTCAGTTTTTGAGTTATACTACATTAAAAGGATTGAGCAAGAACTTACATATCGGTTGATGATTTGCTTAGGTCATTCTAGCAGCTTTACCATGAATCTCTTATTGATTGCTTTGATTGAAAGCTCTCCAATGAATTCATACTGGAAATTTTTTTTCATTAAAGCAGCATTCAATTTCAACTATGTTTGAACGTTGAAAAGAAAGAGGGCTTGAAGTACTTAATTACAAGTAATTGTTGAGATACCATGCCTCTTTTCATGAAACTATAAATATCGTAAGAAGAAGAATAACGCCCAAAAACTCACATCTCTTTTTCATCAAAGAGGTAAACACTCTTCTTGCTCACAGTGTCAAATTAGTGCTATGATTCAATGGTTTAATAAAATGGCCTTTTGAATGATACGTTCAAAGTTAATTGTGAAATTGACAAATTGTAGAACTTATTGCAGACTTTCGTAAGACCATTAGAAAGCTTTGTTCTCTTTCATGCTATGTAGACTTATTTGTTAATTAAGTACATTCATTCTGCGTTGTTTTCCCCCAATTTGATGATTCAAATTTCAAAGGTTCCCTTTTGGACGTGCTGCAATAGTTGATCTCCATGTACTATGTTGACCATTTTATGAACATATAACCGACCTCTTATGTTTTGTTATACTTCTAAAATTGTCCCTCTTCTATATAGGTTGCATTTTTTCTTTTTGGTAGAAATATATATGTTGCATTTGATATAATGAGTTCATGATAATTGTTTGTCAATGAAGACAGATACGTGAATTTATTCTTTATATGGTAACGGATAGCTGAGCCCGGCCATATTATTATTACTTATCCATCTCAAGTTCGAACCTTTCATGTGGGGTTAAGGTTACATGAAGCCCACATTAGACGTTTACCCTTAGCCGTTTGACTATTTTTTAAGTAGTGCAGTACTATTTCAGAATTAGCATTATCTATTGAAGATTAGTATATCTATCGTCCTCCCTTATATGTTATTCTGTTAAAAATCCTTTTACATTTGATCGATGGTTTTTCCTAACATCCATAATTTAGTTATCACTCCGTATTTTATTTTACTTTCTTAATTCAATATGGTCAAATTAAATTATTTAAATATTCAACATGGTAAAAACTATCATGTCATGGAGTTTTTTTCCTTAACAAAATAAGATTTATTGACTACTTTTATCCTTCGTTAATGTTGCATCATAAATTCACATATTATCAATTCAAACCCGTCGCGTAGCACGGGCTAATTTTCTAGTATCTACTAATCCAATTGGCCCCCACTCATTAGTCGGCCCCCACTATTTAGCTAACATACATCAACAATGGGTATTATTCGGTGAATTAGATTAAAAAAGATTAGTTCGGACTTCCAAATGCTCCGGCCTCTCACGGTATTAAGGCAAAAGTTTTCGTTCTTTCAATACGATTTCTCTCTCTCTCTCTCTCTCTCTCTCTCTCTCTCTCTCATCTGATTGAGTAATCAAACAATCTGAGCCTCCCAAACAAAAGTTGTCGACAGCTAATTAAACTGAACAAGATGAAACATACACATATAACGTATATATATGTTATGAATCCTAGTGATAGAGAGGGAAGTTGTAGCGTTGTTTTTTTAGAAAATTGAACACAAAGTATACACGTGACGTGACATATAATATCGTATAGTTGTTTCATGTATGTATGTTAGCTAAAAGCGTTGAAATTCTTATGTATACATACAAAGGCAGAAGATTTGTTTGATATATACGAAACAATAGACATTGCTAGCCAGCTTAACTGATCCTGTGATTCACGCACCTGCTGTATAGTACTACTGCAGGCTTTGCTGCTATCATGCGGCAGCCCCAACGTCCCACATGTGAGGAAAATTTCAATAGAAGACAACCGGTATTACCAGCCACTAAAATAACTAATAACCATTCACTAGGGTTAATACCCAATACGGCTCTACTTTGTACATACCGATTTTAAATAAGGATAAATATGATTCTAATTTTCATAGTAATAAACGACTATTGTTGTTCACCGTCATCATTAACGATTAATTTATTTAATCATTAATGACTCATCAGCATAACTCAATAACTTTTGTTTTGATTAATAAATATAATGTCGATGTAGAATGAGTATAACATAACAATAGTGATGCGGTAAGTAATCCGGTTTATAGTGAAAAAAAAAAATTTAGATCGAGGAAGGACTAAAAATGAAAAAATGACAATATTTTTTCACTATCGAACCTAAATCTCTTGTAGGGGAAGAGGGAGGGCTAATAGCCACATCCTATAACTTTCTAATTATAAAGAACTTTTTTCGTTGACTGTCAACATTAATAATTAACTCATTTAATCGTTTGTGACTCATATAACAATAGTCTTGCGGTAAGTAATCCAGATTTGTAGTTGCGAACCAGGATTTACAGCGAGCATGTGTAAAGTTTGATGAGTTTATACCAATATCCATTTATTAGGGTTGAGTTGGATTTTTAATTCATGGATTTAGGTTTGTACCCATATCCATATGCAAATTACAGTTTGGTATCTAAACTTAACAGATCTTTATAAATTCTCAAAATATCATTGGAAAATTCGATTTTAGTACCTAAAATTTTTATGTCTTACATTTTCAAATCTAAACTTTGTATGTTTTAGAAATAGATCCAAATTCTGTATGTGTAGTCAAAAATACCCTCAAGTAAATGTGTATTCATATCCAAACAATACCCGTTTAGATCATGAAAACAACATCCATACTCTATCTAAACCCATCTAAAGACGCCAAACCCATATATACTTCACTCATACGCTATCTATAAACAATGTATCTATAAACTCATTGGGGACAATTTTACCCATACGCAAACTACTACTAGAGGTTAGATAATCATTTTTCCAATTTTTAGGGTGTCACAATACCACTTAATTATTTTTTCCGCTCATACATAAACTATTATCAGGGGTTGAATAATCGGGTTCCCAAATTTAGGGGTGTCCCGGGACATCCTAAAGCTACATGTATCGCCACTGTGAATACCCTATATATGACTTTTGAATATTTTTTCATGATATGAACATACACACAGGATTGACTATTTTGCCCAAATCAATGAGTATTTTATTATCAAATCAATTGGGTTGAGTATGAAATCTTAATACATAATAAATGAGTAAAGTTTGATGAGTTTATATCCATCCTCATTTATTCGGGTTGAGTTGGATTTTTAATCCATGGATTTAGATTTGTACCCATATCCATATGCAAATTCAGTTCGGTATCTAAACTTAATAGATCTTTATAAATCCTCTAAATATCGTTGGAAAATTTAGATTTTAGTACCTAAATTTTTTATCTTATATTTTCAAATCTTAACTTCGTATGTTTTAGAAATAGGTCCAAATTTTGTATGTATAGTGAAAAACACCCTCAAGTAAATGTGTATCCATATCCAACCTATACCCGTTCAGATCATGAAAACAACATCCATACTCTATCTAAACCCATCTACAGATGCCAAACCCATATATACTTCACTCATAAGCTATCCATAAACAATGTGTCTACTTGAATTTGAGTAAAATTACATCCCATGAATGAATAATTGACATCCCTACATACACATTAGATCCGTAAATCAAAAGATTGAAGGAACTATAACCCTTTCTTAACTACCCGTAGCTCCATCACCATGGTTTTGGCTGCATGGGCGCTGGCGGATCCAAAAAATAATGATATGATGTTGGTGGCGCCCAAGGATACGTACGATCAATTTATTTATCGACATTACATAGTGATCAGCGGTTATTTATAATGAGATCGATAGTTTTTTATTGCAACTTAATTAACCCTCTATGCACGCGCTATTAAATTCCTTTATATTCTTATTTCCTCTTGGTTTTGTTTGGGGCTTTCCAAGACAGATCGAGGAAACTCATTGGGGGGAAAACAGGTTATAAAAGAAGGAAAAAAATAGGGTTTAGTCACGAGACACTTTTCCAAATTTGACACTATAGCTTGTGATTGGACATTCGATCATGTTCTCAGTAGCTCTGTCATATATTCTCTGGTGTTATAGAAAATTTCTAGTCGATATGCCCCTCCCTCCCTCCCTCCCTCCCTCCAGCCGTTTTGTTTTTGTAAGAATTTGCCCACTTGTTTGCAACTGCAAGGAGCGAGATTGAGTTTGTAACTCAAGTATTAACTTAATTAGTTCCATATTCATAAACCCTCTCACCTTACTAGCTATTAGTGCATGTACTGCACAAGCAATAATAGTTAGTTCTCTTTGTTCCTGTACAAATGTATGATGTGTACAGCATAATCTCATAATTACGTGTACTTGTTGATAAGCATAATTAGGTAGCCCTCAACTGTCAAAGGATAGTATGATCTTGTACTACTCAGTACCCACCAGACATGACCAATTAGTCATCTGTTGTTGCAACCATTATGAGTAGCCTGTTTCATGGAATAGACACAAGTCGCAGATCATCATCTGATAAGTTGAAGTTCAATGAAAGAGATAAT